CAGGAGGAGCAGGGCCCCCCGCCAGCCGAAAGTATCCAGGAGGAGCTGCAAGGCCGGCGCCAGGAGCAGCGAGGAGGCTCCGTTGCCCGTCAGTGCCAGCCCCACGGCCAGGACTCGCCGGCGGGAGAAGTAGCGGGAGAGGGTGCCCAGGGCAGGGGCGAACGCCAGGGCCCAGCCGGCGCCTGCGGACGCAGAGGACTGGGGTCACTTGGTTAGGGGTGCAAATGCGGAAGCCCTGTGCTGTGCATCTGAAACTGACATGTTGTCTGTTAGCCACGTTTTATTAAAAATAAAGTCACTTAAGTGTTTAAAAGGAAAAAGACGGGGTGAGGACAGGGGCCTGGGATGCCTGGCCCCGCAATCCCAGCCCCGCTCTTGGGAGGACACCCACCACCACCACCACCGCCACCGCACGGCTGGCCTCCGGCCCCCAACTAGCTCCTGCCTCCACCATCACCCCGAAGGACCGCCCCCCTCACCGGCGAGGACGCCCAGGCCGAGGTAGAGGTGCAGCAGACTTCCCGCGAAAGCCGAGAAGAGGAAGCCGAGGGAGGTGAGGACGCCCCCAATCATCACTACGGGGCGCGCCCCACAGCGGGTGCTCAGGGCGCTGCCCACTGGACCTAGAAGGAGGCGGGGTCAAGGGAAGACACGCCCTAACCCTCCACCTCCAACGCTTCTCATTGGCTGTTTGTCTGGCCTAACGCTCCTCCCTAGCCTAACAGCTCCCCCTCTTAACCTCAACCCGCTCTGTTCTGGAACTGGGTGCCACCCGCCGTCCTTTCTCGGGTCACCTGGCAAGCAGGTGGGCACCCCACCACTGCACTCACGGCCCCTCCATCCCGGCTCCTGCCTCCCACCTCGGGGCGTGTGGGGGGCTCACTGGCTGCCTGCTGCACGGCCAGGGCCAGGGCGCTGACCCACGCCGTGTCCTGAGAGGTCCGGTCGAAGTGCTCAGCGATGTCAGGGAGGGCCAGGCCCAGGGAGCGCAGCAGCCCGTAGGAGAGCCCGTTCACCAGGAAGGCCGC